TCACCTTCATTATATTTTAAAGTATAATTATTTTTTAATCGAGAATGTTATAAAACATAATATTATTTTTAAAAGTAGTTTTTTTTCTACACTATAAAATATTTTATTTGTTTAATTGTATAAAACCAAAATTGTTTTTATTAAACAATAATGAAACAATAGCGCCGGAGTCCAAATTTTTAACCATAACATTAGACACCCACCTATTTCTTATAATTACTTTAGCAAGTACAGTTTTTATATTGTCTAAACAAATTGTACTTCCAATATTTAAAAATAACACACAAATAAGTAAAATATATCAGTTTCTTTATTATTTTTAATACTTTCTATTTTTAAATGTATTACTTAATTATATTATGCTACATTGATAATATATATTTTTATCATTAGATTTAAAATATAAGGTTAGGTCAGGTCACTAAAATTATATTATAGCTATGTAGATAGGTACTAGGTACTGCGATTTTCTAAATTTGTACTCTTAATTTCAAAGAAGATCTTCTAAATTTCATCTATAACGCTTTCCATTGGTAAATATATATTTTGGCACTATTGTAATAAAATATAACTTATAAAAAAGTTTTAGTAATGTGTTTTTACTGAATATTTATAAATAATTATAACTTATAATTAACAGTGTCTTATAATGTATAAGACACTGTTAATTTATTATAAAACACAATTGTTTTATTAATTACTGTTTTTAACTAATAGGTTGTTATATGGCGGCTAACACGTAAATTTAATTTAGCTCACAAAAATTGAATATTTTATTAAAAAGTAAAACCAATCACGAGTTTTCATTCTTTCAAAATCTAGTCAATTTAATACAGCCTTAATGTTTAAATTGAATAACCGTGTTTAATTGTTTCAAATCAAAGCTTTAATTTATAAATATTTTTGAACACGATAGTCTTCTTTATTTTTAATAAAAATTTTACTCTTGCAATAGATTTGTGTATTTTACTGTGAAAACAGAAGTTCGATAATTAATTGTCTTTTTTTTTTTTAATTGATCATAGTAGAAATAAATAAAACAAACTGGTTGAGTTTTAAATTTAAACTGATATTATAGTTTCTAATTTTTAAATAAAGACAATATTATTATTCATAATATATATAATAATATAATATTATATAGTTATTGTTAATTTTATTTTTTATTAGCCGATAGTAATATCAGCAACAAGTTTATGGTTTGAAAATCGGGTACATAAACACTAAACAGTAATAAGGCTTACATAAATAGTGAAATATAATAGTTAATTGATATAAAGACTAATGAAATATGTACCATCTACATTATACAATTTATAAACAGTTGTGTTATCTTATGTCTACGGTTGCTAAATTTTATTATGTAAATCAGTGTTTCTTAAAGTTGTTAACACTATATACTATATAGTTATTTGTTGTATTCTTTTATTGTATTGTAAATTCTAAAGAAATTTTAAAATATGAAATTTTGATACCTACCTACGTTTAAAAGATTTTATTCATAGAAAACACATTTTATTCTAAATACTAATGAATATTTTATAAGCATTAGGTTTCAGATAATATATTGTTAAACATACTTTTAATCAGTTAGTAATATATAGTTTCTTTTTATGCAGGTAGTTATCTACTCTTCAATATTATTGTTAAGATAAATGACAAAAAATAAGGGTATAACAGTAGACCACAGGGTACGGAACTTATTAAAATATTTATTTTTTTTTTGATTCGACTTCAAAAAAAAAGCTTAAGTGCTTTTTTGCTTATTATAAGAGTTTTTAAATATTTTTTCCTAGTTTTTGTGTTTTATGTGTTTTTCTTCTTGAAAACCTATTTTTTTTTCCAATATATGTTAACGATAAAATGTTGTCTTTGTATTTTATATAATCCTAAGTTTAAAGAAGTTTATAAGATAGTTTCCGTTTTTCAACTTAATTATCCAAAAATCCAATTTTACCGTTTACTGCCAAAAAACGTAATCCAATTTCTGAAAAAATAAATCAAAATGTATTACTTTTTGAGAACCTTTAGTTGTCCAGAGACTAGGAAAAAAACAGCATTTAAAAAACACCTTAAACAGTAAATTAATTAATACAATTTTGGGACAAAAATAATACAACTATTGAAAATTAACTGCATTTGAATAAAATCATAGTATAGATTAGGTTAAGTTAGATAAGCAGTTTGCATTATATATACTTTATTCTAATGTTTCTGTAATGTTTAATCATTTAAATCTGTACACCTATTGATTTTGTTCACTTATCAATATCATAAGAATAAAATAATAAAGTGGCATAGTCACAGTGTCCTATGCTTGAGTTGAAAGGCACTTGTGGGGGAGGGGGGAGGGCAGAGCTACTATTCTTCACAACATTTTTTTAGCACTTTTCTTCTAATTTATACCTAATTCAAAGCTGCAGTAACTCGATGTCTATATGAAATTAGTTTCTATGTTTGTATAAATTCGTATTTTGTATTTTGTCTAAACAGCTTATTATTATTAACTATTATAAAAAATTATAAATTTTTGCCTTGTTAAAAAAAAAAATATTTAATAATAATAATAAATTAATATTATGTTGGTAAATAGAATTGCATCATTAACGTTAAACAAACTCCTAACTAATTTGTAGTTAAATTGTCAACTGACGTTCTTATCATAGTTATATGTATCTTTATTAAAATTGATTGATGAAACATTCGTGTCAAACAATTGTTGTTTACACTGGTGTTACATGTACCTTTTTTTTGTTTTTGATAAAATCAAACCTGCGTTCATAAAAATAAAAACGTATTTTTTTGTGTGTTATTTTTTTTATAATTCATATTTAATGTGGAATAGTATTATTTTATGTACAGTTTGACTAATTTATGCGTTTAGATCGATATTCAGTTGTGATACAATATTTTTAATTATCTAATGCTTATGATTTTAAGAATTGTTTTTTTCAGTCAAAAACTATTAAACTTAAGTTATATTCTCAAACTTCTACTTCTTAAAAAATTAGCGATGTAAAAAATATAAGTTTCTAGTCTTTTTCTGTTTGAATAGCAAGCTAATTATTAAATAAATTATTCAGGATCTCAAGATTTGTGTAGAATGTTTCAATAGACCCAAGTAGAGAAGGAAACTCTACTGTTGCATACGACGTTGATTATTTCTTACAGTTTCATTTATAGCTTAGTTATTTTATGTGATGACATCGCAATAAAAAATAAAATTTAGATTGGATTAAGGGTTCAATACATATGTTAATGATAATATATATCATTATCTTTCCCTTTCACATCCAGTGATGTTGCAGTCTTATCGCTGTATTTTTAATGTAAACGATTGAATAATACACATATAATATTATGTAAAGTGAGTAATACAAAATAAGGGTTTTCTTTTACTGTATAGAGTATTAAAAATAAAGTTTTATCTTAACGTATTTATACTACATTTATTATTTAACCGAGTACTTTGGGTAGCTTATATACTATTATATCATGACTTTTAATATATAAATTTTAATATATTGACATATTTTTTGACAATAAACAATTCTTTTCTAAAATTTCCACTACAGAATTGGTGATTAAATTTTAATCATTTAAAATATTTGTTTCAAATATGTACCTAATTTTAATATTTAATTCTACAGTTTATCACCAAAAATGTAAAATATTTAAAAATAAACATTTCATCAGGAACCTTTACTAAAGTACAAATATATTAATATAAATAGATTTATAGAGAAGTAGACTATTATAAACAAAATTAATGTACTTAGGTCTTAAATAAAAGGAAAAATATTATTTAGATTTCAGAACAAGAATTCTATATTATGTTTTGTAAGATGATAAGATTTAAAAAAAAAAATAGTTTTATTTCTTTACTCCCGTGGTGATTGTTGATCATGAAACATCTTATGCTATTATCTTCTTCTATATTTTTTATAATAATCAAAATATACTTTGCTGATTTTTCCATTTAAACCATTTTTTAATTTCTGACACTATAACTCTTTAAATTGTGTACTTTTTAGCATTTTTTATGTAACTATTATTCTTTTGATCTCCTTATACTAAATAGTAAATACTATAATATAAAAATCACATGTTTTCTAACAATGCTTAGTATAGTAATATCTATCACTCCATCTCAATCCTTCTATAGAATTTAAAAATACTTAAAAAAAAATAATACTTATTTCTTACTTTATTATCTTCACCTCATAATTGAAAGCAATTTCAGTTGATGTTTACTTCACTTTCACTCACGTTGTCACATCTAATTAAAATTTTATCAAATTTACTTACTATTTTTTATATAAATTATAAATTTTATCCATAGTAAAACAGCACTAAATAATTGCAAATAAATGTATACACTAAGAAGGAATATAATATTAAAGATAAAGTAATTTATAATACATTAGTAGTCTCTAATAATTTTTACAACGTTATTCAACTTTAATAATCATCTGTATGTTCGTTAAAGACACTCTAATATCATAAATTATGATAAGTGCACAATATTATTATTAATTTATTACATAAAAATAGCCATATTGATTTTATATTTTAAAACTAGATATACAAAAAAAGTAAATGAGCAAATAAAAATTATTCACAATAAGAAGCAAAAATTGTTGTTTTTAAATATGCAAATTACTACCTAATATATGCCTTTTCTTTCAGCAATAACTGAAGATTAAATAACGTTCGTAGTACATATTTCATAAAAAAATGTTTATTCTTTTTAAGATTTTATTGAGTAAATTTGATGATTTAAATACTTAAAAAACATGAATATTAATTCGTATACAAAACTACTTTACCACGGCAACAAACATTGATGATTAACAAATATTTATAAATAATATTCATATTGTTAATCTATGTGATAAATATTGATCGAACTGCAACATATCGAATAATTAATTATTTTAGTACTACTTTTAATTTTAAAGAATAATATAGTTTAAAATTAAATAAGTTTATTAAACACCATGAATGATAGTTTAATAAAAGCATATACTTTAATGGCTCTTGGTCAATATACCAATGCTATAAAATATTTCAAATCATATATGAACGAAGAACCAAATATTCCATTAAGCAAAGAAGCATTTAAACTCTTATCGAAAGCCTACAATAAATTGACAAATTATAATCGTAATTATATACGTGAACTAGAAGCGTATTTGGAATCACTCAGAGACAGCGATCAGGAACGCATCGTAGCCATCACTTCATTGTTGGATGAAACTAGAAAAGATTTAATTGTCATTTGTACCGAAGTCGTTAATATAATAAATAACAATTTGCTCAAAAACGTTGTAGAAATACGAGAAAAAGTGTTAATTTATAACATGAAAGGAGATTATTGTCGGTAAATTTGGTAGTTTTTTTATTCTCTTTATATTCTATGATAATTATAGGATTTGCAGCAATTTAATAATTTATATATTCAATAATAAGTATGATTTTGAATCGATTATGTTTTACATTTAATTACTTACTAAATCCTACAGAGACAATAATTGTTTAAAACAGAAATGCATAAATATATATATTAAATAATAGAGAAGCGTTTTTAAAATTAAAATTATATTAACCGATTGCATTAGCATTATATAATATATTTATATTGTGTAATATCATTTAAAGATAATCTCAAACCTATTGTTGATATAATCTAGCTTTTAGAGTTATGTTACTAAAATTATATAGGTAATGTAAAACAATTCGTTTTATAACAGACGTGTTATTTGTTAGTTATTTTAATATTTTATCATCATTTAAAGTTTAGAAAGTCGTTCTCGAATGGTTAAAAAGTATTTATACTTAAAGTATACGTATACAGTATAATACTCATTCGGTTTTAAACGTATACACAAATGTTACACAATATGTAATTCCATATTAAAATATATTTACATTTTAGGTATATATGGGAAGTAAATAACAGCGATGAAATTTGCAAAGAAGCAACTAAAGCATACAATGAAGCTATGGGTATATGTCAATGGAATTTTAAATCAACAGACCCATACTTACTACAAGTCACATTAAACTTCACGACACACTTGAACAACACCAATAATACCGAGAGGGCTACAGTTATTTTAAAAAGAGTTATTCAAAACTTACAAACAGAAGATGTTCAACACTACGACTTATTAAAGAAATCATATATTGATTTAGTTTTGAAATACTTAAAGGAAAATTTAGTTCGATTTCAGAATATCATCAACCAAAAAAATATACAAATAATTCAGCTAATAGAAGAATTTGAAATCAATGATTATCTTCATGAAGAGTTATTGGATAATTTAATCACAAGAAAACAAGGCTAATATTGTTTTACTGTTCTATTAAAAACATGTTATTGAAATCGATATTTTTATCAACAATATTCAAATCCTTGATCTATTTTTCATAATAGTGAAATGATAAATTAATTGAGTATTGATTTTTATTTGTGTGTGTGTTTGGTACAAGATCTATTAAAATAATAAAATTATTATTATTATTATTATTATTATTATTGTTTACCGGGCACGTATACAAAATACGATTTCGGGGGGGGGGGGGGGAGGCTTACAAAATATAGTAATACAAATTGTACCGCAACATAATAAAACAATTTCTTCCTCGTTACTCATTATTTTTTAATATGACAATTATTATGCTAAGTATCCAAATTTTATATATGTCATTTGTTCAGAAGTAAGTTTATAAGAAAAATTAAAATAATAATATATAAAACTTTAAATGTTATGAACAGAACAGACATTTATTTTATTAGTACCTATGCACATAAAATTATCTAAGTATTACTATGAAGTACCTAAATAGAAGAAAAAAATCAAACGATTTTTATATAATACATTAAAAAATTAAAAATTAAATTATAAAATCCCATTTTTGTGGTAACTTAGCAAATATATCTATAACTTCTACCACATTTAAATCAAAATTTCGATATATATTTAGTAGTGCCAATCCAGTAAGTATAATTTTTCTTATATTGTTTCATAAGTACGTTTTAAGTCTCCGTAGAGTTGAGAATGACCGTTTGCAGTAACAGTTGTAACAGATAATGTGGCCAAAATGTACCTTAACAGTATTGATTTGATAATACATAAATTAGCAATTTAATAGGAGTTTTTGGTCATCGATTGAGATATAAGAAAAGATTATTGACAAAATGTGAGTTTTCTAGGTATATAAAGGCTTATATCGTAATGTTCAGTTCTCACAAATGCGTAATTCTCAGTAATCAGTTATCACTTCATTCGACTATAATACTAGATTATAAACTTGTATTTCATACCCGACTAATATAAATAAAAGAAAACTAACCAATAGCTAGTAATAAAAATATTTTATAATAATAGGTGTATAATTTGACTTAATTTTCAAAGAAATTATTTCTGGGGTACCCCCCCCCCCCCTGTATATGTGCCTGTTGTTTACTACATATACTTTTGAAAATAAACTATTAATAAGTATAAGTATATATAAGTATGAGTATCATGTAATTATTATTTTACGTTTCTTAAGTGTTTTTAATTATTTTTAATTTCTAATACAAACTCGAAGGTATATTTAAAACTTAATTCAAAATGTTGGTGCTTTGTAATCATTTATGAAGATCCAAAATATTTTAAAATACTCTTTCTAAAAAAAAATAATTATGACAGATAAAATAATAAACTTAATCATTAACCAACTGTCAAAAATGTATAGGATGATGTACTGTGGTGATTTCTCTTTTTATTTTGTATTTTTTTATTTACCATCACATAAAAATATGAAACACGGTGGTATTTCTGTGTAATCCACGAAATAGATCATTTTTACAATTTATCGTACTATTAGTTTAAATTAAAATTAAAACGCCTAAAAAAATAAAATTTAATGAAAAAAATAGTTATATTTTAATAATAATGAAATATAATTGGTATTTTAATTTTGTGTCTTCTATTTATATATATATATATATATTTAATACGATTAATATAAAACATCAAATGTTTAACTATTTATAATTTGAATAATTGTATATGTGGAACTTGTGTATGATCATCTCATGGTATCTTATAGTCTGTTTATTAATTTAATATTGTAATAATTAAATTGCATTATATTAGTCGTAATAATAATAATAAAAAGCCAAAAATTTGAAATAATTTACATAAGTTTATTCCACAACATATTGAATTACCATCAAAACAAACAAAATGCGTAATTACGGACTGATATTTACTAAGTTTTATTAAAAAATAATTAATATACAAAACAAACATCTGTGATGCTATATATATATATATATATTCGTTTTTTGGAATTTAGATAAATTCAAAACTTTTACCGCACTTTTTTCTCTGAAAAATGTAGTAGTAAATAAAGAAATAACATAATATACACATTATTTTAAAACCAATTGTTTCTTTGTTTCAATCAAAAACGTACATAATATTTATAAATAATGTATTCATCATTGACTTGATAAAAGTTGAAATTTTTAACAAAGTATACACAATTCGAGATGATTGAAAATAAAACTTCTAAAATAAATTCTACAAAGAATTTATTTGCTATTTTTAAAGTATAGTAAAAAAACATAAACAACAAAAAACAAAAAACAAATTATATATTTTTTGAATCATTGTACTGAACACAATTTTTATGACATTGATTTTAACATTCACTTATAATACAAAAAATATCAACAATAAGTAAATCGTGGGTATATAGCGTTTTGTAGATCAAAACATAGAATAAAATCAGACCATAAAATAAACGAAATGGAAAGTTTGTAATTCACAAAAACTCGTATTTTATTGTTTTTACATATGTTCAATTTTTGTTTCACAAAAATCATTTATTCTTTTGTGTACGTGACAAAAGAAAAAAATCATTTGGTTAATAAATGTCGGTTATGTGGTAGTGTTTGGAAAGAAAAAAAGCTACATCTTCGAATAATATTTAAGAAATAATATTAGTAGAAAAATAAAAACAATTGCAGCAACTAGTATTATGCTGATTTAAATTGTATTGCCATTCTAAATACGATAAAAATATTATGTATATTTTTGCTAACTTATTATTTTGTTTTAAATTTACACGCAAAAAAAAAATTAATTCTATAAAAACTACATTTTTCAGAATTACATTTTTATTTTTTAATAATTAAAATAGGGAGAAATTTAAAGATCTTATTAGGAAATGTATCACAAAACTTTTTTGATTGGAATTATGGTGCCAACATTTGAAATGTTTTAATTCTATGAGATTTTTTTTTTCATTTTACAAGTTAAAGTTTTATCGTGTTCTTATTATGTCATACCACAAGTTTTCAACTGAACTATAATTTAGAGTTTTTTCTTGTTGAAACTTCAAATTAAAATTGTACACACATTGCATTTAAAATAAAATGAGATTTTCTTTTTGTGCACTAAAGCGTGACCATTGTTGTAAATTGTACCTAATGGTGACTAAAATTAAATTTTAAAGAATTCCTATTGTTATTTTAAAATAAAATTGTGCTTGTTTATATTTTTTTGTGAAATTTCGATAAATGCATTTCGAAATAGCAAAAAATAACACTGAGGTACATACTCGTATATTGTAATGGTATGGTTTGCACTTTAATTTATATTTCATAAAAAAACATGTGAGAGTGAACAAGTAAAAAGAAGTAATAAAATATTATTGTATTGTCGTTTCATATTAATTTTGTAAGTACATTTTCTAATACCTACATAAAGTGTTGTCCATATACATTTTTTTAATAAACGAAAATCATATTTTCATTTAAATTATGTTTATTAGATTTTAATGAAATTGTAAATTAATTTACATAATAATACGAAAAATTTAGTATTTAATTTTAAAACAAGCTTAAAATATTGGAAAAATATTTTAAATATTTAAATATTTAATTTATAATTTTAATATTGAATTTATATATTTACAATATATAAATCGGTTCCTGACAATTTTTTTTATGTTAAAAACCAAAACTGTATACCTTAAATGAATAACAATCTGCAGCTACAATAAATTGGTAATGGTCAATTGATAGCATGCCAGTAAAATTTTTGAAATGTATACTGCTTTGTAGCATGTGAAATTAAGCAATAATATTTAAATAATAAAATATGTACCATTGTAAATTGTAAAATTATATGTATAATTTTAGCTATTGTGGGATATGCCATTTTAAATTTATTTATATTTTATGATTTTAACTCCTATTTTATTTTATTTTCTCCTTATTGTGTGCAAATTAGATTTTTAAATAACTAATATATATTTTAATCTTTTTAAACATGAACTACTCTACAAAAGTTTCTATATCAATAAATAAAATTATTTCGCGATGCGTGCTGTACAAAATTTAATTTAAAAGCAGTTTGCGTGTAATATACTCTGTTCATTTACTCCATGGCCCAACAAAAATTAGCTCTACGCATTCGAACGCGATACTCTGATACTGAAACCAATAATTCCAATTGAATCGGTGTTTTCAAGCTGGATAGTGTTTATAAGTACATCAAATTGTGAAAAAATATATTATCTTTTTTGATTCGGTAAAATATATTGTAATTTTATAATAATATTTGTGATCTGTGATTGTTTTAAAAAAAATATGATGTCGCATGACTTAAATGATACATAATTAAGAATATTAAAAAAAAAAAATAAATAAATAAATAGATTTTACGAATAGTATGAAATAAATTATCTTATACCATTATTAAAATTGATGATGATATTATTAAATCAGTTAAAGACTTTAATTACAATGGTTATAATTAAAATCATTTTACATTTAAATAACCAAGTTTAATACATTTATAAAAATATATATCTAAATAAAAGATTTATTAAAATTACATGAAATAATTATATTTACCTACAACTGGTAGTAGTAACGTAGCCGCAAGGAGGGCCGAAGGGATTATACACCCCATATAATCTATATTATATGATTCAATTTAAGTACATGATAAAAATATTCAGTTGTCATGTTTTAATCATAAAAATTGAGAAATAAATATAAAATATATCTGCAAATTTCTACAATTTTGACATAATCATGTAAAAAAAAAACATTTTTTTAAGTTTATTGACTCGATAAAAATTCTCTTTAACCCAATTCAAATTCCTGGTTTCATAACTGATTAATATAGTAACATTAATTATTTTTATAATAAGAAATAGGTACTTACCAGAATATATAATAATCACTAAGTAAACCCGTAAAGCTATTTTGAAATGAATAGAATATAATAATTATTAATTACTAATGACGACAACCGGCGGCCATAGACAGTATAACACT